TTACATTAAGAATAGGATATTGCTTTTCTTGTATCCAAGGATTCATCAAGTCTTTTACATTAATTTTTCCAAATCCATAGTTTGTGAATCATAGACAGATTGCATTACAGTCCAAAAATCGTCCAAACTACCCGTTCTTATAAAAATGTATAAAAATGAATTCTATTCACAATATATATATTGTGTAATCGAGACATTATCAGAGGAAAAACATGGTTCTCTCTTCTATATATCATAAATACAAATTTATACAATTGTTATAACTGTCAAAAGACACGCATAGTTCGCATCATTCGCTCAGTTTAGTTCTTGTGGTACAGATGTCCGTGATTTTATTTGCGCAAAAACTCCGGTGTAAGTTATATCTCAAAGTCTGAATAGCGATTAGACCGATTGAATTTTAGTTCATCAACAGGCATCATTGACAGATAGATAAATTTTATAATAAAAATTTTATAATAAAAATTTATATAAAGAATTATTATATAAAATTATAAAATTTATAAAAATTTTATAATAAAAATGTTTTTAATTTTTATCAATATAATTTACAAAAATATATGTGACGATATTTTTGAAAAATAATTACATTATAAATTTTACTGCTGATTAATCATTTATTCCGAATAGCAAATTTTGAATAGAAAATTTTCTACTTATTTTAACACATTTAAATTTTTTTTTATTTCGAGGAGTAAGAAAGTATTTGAGAATATAATTTTATATGTAGTAATATAGTTGTTATACTTCGTAAAAATAGTGAAGAATATAGGCAAAGAATATTGCAAATCATTATTTACATTATATAACCTTACATTATGTGAAAAATGAAAAAATGAAAAATTGTTCATTTGACAGAAAAGAAAAGAAAGGAAAGATACAAGACATGAAAATACTTACTCTCTTTTCATATACGTTTTAATTCCTTTTTGAAAAATATCATCACCCACTGTATGATGCAGCATACGCAATATAGAAGGTGCTACGACAAATAAGCATTATAAGATCAAACATGAAAGAAATTAT